GTAGACACTATGTGTGCTTGCCATTTTACACCTAGCTGTTGGAACTTTCACGATGGGGGGTTGGTAGGCATCCCTCAGCACCAACCACTACTGGTTTCCCAAAGCTGACTAATTGGTAGTATTCTTCTTACACTGGCTTCTCATGTGTCCTTGCTCCCCACAGTTCCAACAGCCTTTCTTGGTAGCAGCCTTTACTGCTGTATCGTCTCCCCTGTGTTGAAGTTGCCGGCATTAACCTGATGACTACCAGTACTAACTTTCTTAGTAGGCAATGCATGTGTGCATTTGGGAATTGAAAAAATGATAGAGAACTTATCTTTTAATGGATTTGTGATTTTATTTTTATAAACAGTAGCATAACATTCAATTATTTGTACAAAATTGTATTATTTAATAAAGTTTAAAGAGGAATTTAATGAAAAAATCCTAAAACACGTTTTAGACTGTAAATAAGCGCCCTCTAAGAAGAAATGTTTTTTTTCAAAAATTTTTTAAGATATTTCCTTTCACCTCAGCACTGGTTCTGCCATATATTATTGGTATCTAAACATTTTTCTAGTCTGTTTTTTTATAAAACTGCGTCTGGGCATGTTAAACCTCAGTTGTAAAACTTTTAGCCAATCCTAGTCGAAAGTGTCAATTTTAGTACCAATTATTCCAATTGCTGTATCTCCCATTTGACAAATCATAGGATGATAAGGAAATCAAGTGATGAAACGTTGTTCTCTGGATTTTACAATATGAATGTGGGTGGTGCTTATTATAGTAACTGCCATTTTATGTAAAGGTTGTATTTAGTACTGGCCAATAGGGCTTTTCTATAAGCATTAGAAAAGTTGCTTCTGGAAAAAAACTGCATGGGATATACGTGACTTTTATTTTTCTTATATAATAGCTTAAGTCATGCTGCATGGTATATCTGTTTATATTAATCATTATATTGAAAAATTAACTCAAGAAGCTGATCCACGATTGTTAGGGTTAAGAGTTACCGAGTGGCGAGTGCAAAGTCTTTACATGAATTAAACTTAGGACTTTGAACTGAAAGAATTTGTGATTTTTTATATTCTTTTGAATTTAAATTTGTAGCTTTAAGCTCAATAATTTAGCATAATTTTGTATTTAGTTAATAATAATAATATGATTCAGTATTTAGAATGAAAAACTTGTGTGATTTGTACGTAATACTATTAGTACCACAAAATAATTTTATATTTTTCCTTCTTACAATCTTTACTTTGTAGTAAGACCCACACGTCTGTTGTTATTGCGTTAGAATTAAAACAGTCTAACTGATATATATATATATTAGTTTATTCATATATATAT